GCCAGTGAAGCACAAAAACCACTAGCCAAAATGGAATTTCTACTAGTCTGTGGCTAGTTGGCTACCGTTACTCTCGAGCCCTGTAAGATTCACATCATATCAGAGAAGGCTTTTAAGAAATTTTCCTAAGATCCTTTGAGAATCCCTCAAAGACCTATACAATAACATGTATCTTTAAACATCTTTGGTAGAGTTCATTGGTAGTGATCTTAAAAGAACCTCAGTGGCCCTGCAAGGTTTTACTTGTGGGTTGATATTTTCACAATATGAGCTATCTGTCATACAAGTCTCAGTGAGTCTCTCAGTGAGTGTCATGCAAGTCTCATTAAAATTATTTTTGAGGGACTGTGGGAGTTGACTCAAAACTCAGAACTTTATTATATGCAAGACAAGCAGTAGCACTGGAAAGAAGAGAAAGTAAACTTTTTCACACTAGTATACAATACACAATGTAATTATGTTAGTGGTCTAACAAGCAATTTATTGAATTCGTAGATTCTGATTCTGTTATGGAAGAAACCATATCCCAAGAAAGGTATCAACAATACAAGTCATGCAAAAACTTGCTTTATTTACATTGTAACTATGACAATACAGTAAAATAACATGTAGCTCTCAGCTTACTCGAAAGACTCTAAAAAAGACTCCTGGAACAAAACTTGTTTTACAAAATAATGTAAATTTAGTTACTGTTCTTATCTCTGATCAAAAGACACTGACGGCTGATAGAAATGCAAGATTTTATTTTCCACATGGAAACTAACTTACATAATTAATAATTTATTATTATTATAATTGTTACAAGAGGCCTGTATGAATTCAAAGTTGTCGTTATGTTTTGATTCACCTGTAGCCTTGATCTTCACACTTGTGGCAAACTTGTTACTTTTTTTGTAAAATTTATACGAAAGAAAAATTGTATGAACTACAGGCAAGTTCACCCATAACATCAAGGGTCCATCAAGCATGCTCATCTGTAACAGGTGCTATGGGTTATGGCCCTTATTGACAGCCCTGAATGATTGTATATCAATGTTAGTTTTGGAAGTTATTAATAATTCCATTCAAGATTTAACAATCCCTTTGTTAGGAAGCCAGTTATAGCTTGATTTAATGTGAAGGTATTAGGAGATGAGGTAGAGGGTTGAACAAGATTAAAAACTTAATGCACTTAATCCACATTTTCATATTTAACTTTAATTATTTTCAATTTTGTTGGTATTTTGTTGTGGTGTGGAATACTTATAAGATACTTACAGTATAGTTAATTTAGGAGCAAGGAAGGGTGGATCCAGGATTTTACATGAGTGATTTGCAATAATTTAACTAGTCTAACTAGGGGGAGGAGCCCTTGGGGGCACACTCCCCCAAGAAAATTTGAAATTTAATGCTCTCAGAATGCAAATTTTCTGCATTCTGAGAGGTTTGGAAACATTTGAGTGATTTCTGGAAATCACTTGAACTACTCTGGGTCCACCCCTGCTGAAGGCACATTTGGGTCATAGTTTTTATTCCAGGTACTTTTGCTGTAGTAATTACAGTTTCTTGAACAAATGCAATTCACTGTTGCTATGTGAAAAGAACTGCCAGGTCTGTTAAAAGCATCCCTCCTAGTAGAAACAACTCGGGAATCTGTAAATGTTACACTTGTTTGCATTTATTAGGTATCGGAACAACTGGAGATTCATTC